ACACGTGTGGAAGCGATTTTTATCAATTCAAAAGTCATTAAACCCTTTTTTAAGAAAATAAAATAAAATAATCGAGGGTTTACCCAACCCAACTCTAACCCCATTCATCTCTCACACCTAAACTAGTCATAGTTTCATGTCCTTTTGGTACGATTTGTGGTATGGGTTTCAGAGAAAACCAGAGTGTTGTTTCTTGAATCAAAAAATAATAAGGAATGAATTATACCAAAAGGATATGAAACTGTGAATCGTTTTCAGCAGTAGAACATTCAGCGGGAATATTTTCAGCCGTGGTGGTGTGGGATGGTGGTGTTCTTAAAAGGATATGGTGGTGTTATACGATGGTGGTGGTGTAAGATTAGTGGGATGTGACATTTGACACATCATTTTATATTCAAATTTGGTGGACAAATACTCAAAAGTAATTAGCGTTTAAACATTGGAAAACTCGAACTTCTTTCCTTTTAATTTTCCTTGTACAACCCTTAGGCCTTATATCCATGCCTCATCTATCCATCCAATTTCCAAAGAAAGAAGGAAAAAATTTCTTCCCATCGAGTTACAAGACTTTGGTTTCTATTGTAAGAGTTTACTACATGCAAAATATTTCTAAACCAATTGAGGACTTAAACCACATCTTAACTCAGAAAGACAATTGAACAAAAAAATTATTAGAGATAAGACTTACTTGAATTAGCCATAATCAAATATACAATTGAATAAAAGAATGATTAGATAAGACTTACTTGAATTAGCCATAATCAAATATACAAGACGATCTTCTCCTCTTAGTATTCCAGAACGGTCAAGGCTTACAATAGGACCAGCATACATAATATGAACGTATGGATATGAGTGCAGAGACCAAGCCTTTTATATAAGTTTCTTTACAACTGACTCTCCTATTAAGAGACAACTGCTAGCCAAAACGTGGAGATAATGGATGATATCCACCTCCTACAATAGTCCATTTAGTCATTATTTGAATAAAAGTCTCATAATATCTTAATTTAAATATAACTCTATTTATTATTTATATGACACCTCATAATTATGAAAAGACAAACTCACAAAATATATGGAAAAACTTACATCTATGTCGCTATGGTGTTTGACAAATGACACTCTTCCTATTTTGAAAATGAAAGATGGGTAATATTTGAATTAAAAGAAAGGAAAAAACACTGCCACCTAATATTTATTATTAATATAGTAAATTTGGCTTCTCCCTTCAAACTCATATTGCCTTACCTGCAACCCATTCCTTTATTTTTCTACATACTAGCCCCTTGGCACATGCTCACGCATGTGCCAATTGGTTTTATTTTATTTTTAAAATTAAGAAAAGATAATATGGGTAGTTATGTTCCATAAAAGTAGGATTTATTATCTGATTTTATTTTAATTTTTAATTTTTTTAAATATGAAAAATTGTAAATTTACTATATTATCCTCATTTAATTAATAATTTCAATTCTTAATGTTTGAATTAACCAAGGACATTTTCTAGTATTTTGAATGTTTCACCATTCTCTGCCTTTTGCTTTATATATTTTTCTACAAATAAAACCCAATTTTTTTTAAGTAAAACCCGATGACTAGGATTCAATTCAGCAAGTAACCTAATCAAGCTTGAATTTTAATTTATTGTAATTTTTAGATTCCAAAATTAGCCCTATTTACAATTCAACGTATGTTATGGGGCTTTTAAATTGTGCCCTTTATTGTGATTTTTTTCCTCCAGCATATTGTATGCGAGTCAACCACCATCTATTATACGTTTTGATTATGTGTTTTCCTCTAGCAAATTGTATGGGATAGTCATCATATTATTTCCCTATTATAATTTACCTTTTTTTTTAGTGGATAATAATTTACCTATTGTATCCCTAACATATTTAATGTACCTATTTTATTTTATTGATAATAGGTATATTATCCATAACATATTAATGTACCTATTTAATCTTATGAACAGAAAGTAATGGATAATACTCCGAGCTAGGGGTATTAGGTAAAATCCCAGCTAGGGATAAAATCCTAGTGAATGAATAAGAAAATCTACAATTATGCCCTATTTTTTAGTTAAAATTTAGTTGAAAACACACAAAATTATTTTAGTAGCTCTCTATAAAATTTGAACTCCAATCATATTTCTTAGTTTAGGGAGTCATAAACATTAATTAAAAGTTACATAAAACAAAGCAGCATTAAATTATAGGGAGCCACTAGGAGTCATTTCTCTCTCCTCATATTTAGGAGCTTCTAGAGGTCTCCCTATTTTAGGAGGTGGACAAGGAGTATGGTTGGAGTTGTATTTTTCCAATTCCTCCATAAAATTTGACTAAGGATGTGGTTTTAGGAGCCCATTATGGATGCTCTAAGTACGGTATGAATAGGTACATAATGGATAATAATCCCATCTGGGTATATTAGCCATAACATAACATATAGAGAAGTGTTGAATGGGATATATATATATATATATATATATATATATAATTGAATCATATTATGTAAAAAAATGGAGATTCATTATTATACCCAATATAAGGGCTCAAATTATAAATAAATAAATAAAAACCCTACATGAAATGGACTTTAGAAACACACCCAAAACTCATTTACAACATAACAAGATACTTCAAACTTCCTATAAATTACAAAACTGTCATCGATTTCTTAAAACAAACTCAATCCCAAAACCTCATAAATAAAAAACCCAAAACACTCAATATGCATTAAAGTAATTTAATAATCAAAATTAAATTCAATAGGACCAGTTGTCATTTTTTGGATTTCTTTATAGATTTTAAATGGTGTAGGGTTTATCTATATCACTATTGCTAAGAATGGGTATATAACTAAATATCTAGGGTCATACTAAAATAGGTCCTTGCAACTCAAAAATCATATACGATAACTCAACAATAATATAACATTTAAGTAAAACCCAATTTTAAAATTGGATGACAATGTGTCCATGTAAGTTGATTTATTTACAAATCATGCCACTAGATCTGTGGGTAGGAGGTTCTAAGGGAGTGTTTGATATAGACCCTTGCAACTACTATATCCTAGTCATATACCCACATATTTTTAAATCTTTACTGAAAACCCAAATTTAAAATTGAAAATAGGTTTCCATGTGAGATAGATTTGTCCTAGTATTATTAACTAAATTACAAATCATGCCACTGCAAAACATTTAGAGTTTTTCTACTATTTAAGTAAATTTAGGTTTTAGCCACAAAAAAACTTTCACTTTTGGAAAAAGCCAAAACTTTTCCAAAAAATACAGAAAAACCCCTTAACTTTCAAACCAAATACATGCAAATGTAAGGAATTCCTTAGGAAATCCAAAAATAAATAAGGGCATTTTTGTCCATTTTGGTTTCTTTTCAAAATATTTCTCTCTCCTTTGGCCTTTTCCAAAATGTCCCTCCACACTTTTCTTTGTTCACCCCAATACTTAAACCATTAAGCTCTTAAGTTTTGTTATTGTGTAAAAATACAAAAAAGGTCATCCAACTTAATACTTAACCCTAGTACATCTATACACACACACTCCACCACTCTTCATATTAAGATTTAGAAAAACACAAACTACTCTACACCCTATTCCCAGATTACTCTTCTCTTTTAATCCAAAAAACCTAATACACTCTCATCTTCTCTTCACAAACCCTAATCTCAGTTTTGAATTAATATTCATAATATAATAAAGCTGCAATATGGTTCACATGTACAAAAAAGAAAAAAAAAATTGAGTAAAGGACAATGAGCAGGATTAACAACCTAAATAAAGAAGACATAAATATGCCAGCAGAATCTAACCTTTTAAAACATTTATGTCATTGCAGTGTCCATTACCATTAAGCAATTACGGCCAAGTGAGGACAACAAACTTGAAAAGAAAAAAAAAAGCATTCCATACTAAAATTACGAAGTTTCATGTTGGGAAAAACAAAGTAATATCTAACCTGCAATTGAGTATACAGATATGGGAGCCCTCCTATGTAGAAATAACAAAATTACAAAATTCTTCAAGTTTTTTTGTTTTG